GTTCCGGCCGCCGCCGTCTGCCCCCCGAGACTACTTGCTCCGTAGCTCTCGAACCCTCTGTAAGGATCGCCGCTATAGTCGGTGTGTCACATACCTGAAGATTTCTGCAGGTGCAGGATTTCGGAGACATCCGGCGTATAACCACCTGTTGCAAAAAGGAAAAATAACGTAACCGCTTGTTTTTATTTTGTAGGATTGAAGCAGCTCGATGCCCAGATGTGGTCGTGGCACAAATAGACCCCAAAAAATTGAGAAAGAAGCAGACAGTGAACGTTTCAGTAAGTTTGAGAACTTTTACATATTAAAAAAAAAAAAAAAAAATGGAAAAATGTTAATGTGATAATGGTTTGGGGGAGTGGTTGGCATAACTAAATAGCACTGCTGGATTTTAAAAGCATCTACAGAATTTAGTGTCTGTTTTTGAAGAAATGCCAGTCCAAAGTGCTGGCTAACAGTAGTCTTGGTTACTGCTGTAAATTGACACTATCCATACTTGATTATTATTTTAAATTATTTTAGTCTGAGGAAATCAAACGATGCATTAAATTTACCAATATTTAATCATATAACCAGGATAAATTTTAGAAGAACGATATCTCTGTATCTATATTTAGGTTTAAATATCTGTCTAGGGTAAGGGTAGTAACTGCAGCTAAGCTTTACTAAAGTTAGATGAAGTTCTAGCATCACTTATTTGATTTTTGGTGGAATGTTCTATCAGAATTTTTCCTTGCTGCCCAAGCAGATTTTCTTCTTGTCACATTGCCCTACCAGCTTGGTTTTTAATCTACTTTCAAATAGTTAAAGAGACCAAGTTTGCCTTTTTTTAGTGAAAACTGTAATCTGAAAATTCACTACTAGATTTTGTTATTGTTAAATAACTATTTCATGCTAATCTTTAAAGATGTTATATCTACATAACTGTCAGAATTACATTCGTAAAAGGCATTTTTGTGGTCTATATGCTTCAACTTATTATGTTGGCAAATAGAACATCTAAGATTTGTAGTATCTGCCCAAGATAAGGAAACAGCACGCTGCTTTTTATGAAGAGAGAAATTAAGGCAGAACAATTGCTAGAAAGCCTACTTTAAATAATTGACAGTATATTTTGAATACTTAGTTTGCCTTCCTATTTGCATATGAGAAGAGTCAAACAGTAAATTTTGTCCAAAGCAACTGTTAAGTCAGTCTTGGATGTGTTCAGGAAATGACCCTTCTTAAATGAAGATTTAAAGGATATTGTTTACCTGAGAGTAGAAGCTTTCTTTATGTTATAATTATTCTCAGTATTTTCTTAGCTTTCCAGATGTCAGCCTGCCCCTGAAGGATACTCTCCAACGCTCAAGTGGCAGCAGCAGCAAGTGGCCAATTTCTCAGCTGTTCGTCAGGTACAAAATGGTGTGTGTGAGAGGACTTGCACGTGTACCTAGAATACCTCTGTGCTTTATGGGAACAACCTTCTCTCTAGTCTAGAAATGTCACAGCGTTGTGGTAGGACGGATGTTTGTTGGCAAATATTTTAAATTCTGGAAAAAAACATTGAGTATATATTATGTGGCCTTTAAACCACTGATAAACCTCCTGAGAGTCACATTTAAAATAATTCTTCAACTTCATCAAAAATGTCAGCATTTAGATTAAATGATACAGAGTAGCTGAAGGAGGACAAAATCCCTATGATGTTATGCAATTATATTAAAACTCAAAACTCAACATTAACTGGAAAACAAGTGGATTCTAACCCACCAGGAGATTAATGTATGTAGAACACACTGTCCACTTAGGACATTGCTGACAGTGGTGGCACCCACTAAGAGGAGAAGTACTGACTTGGTAAAATGGTGTTTCTGAGGCTGTAGCATTAACACAGACTTAAATCTCTCCTACCGCATTTGCACTCTGTTCTTAAATAACAGAACGAAAATGGAGAATTGATCTGTCAGACATGGTGACATGTAAAACATGATAAAGATGTAGGTAGAGATAATTTATGACTCCAGTACTGCAGAAGGCCTGTTTACAGTGCAAGTGATATTGCATAGTAGGGGTACTTCAAGTAACTGAGTGTGTGTACTGAACTGCACTGAAGCTGCTGTAGCACCAAACTTTGCATGAGCTCATTTGCTCTGTTTTTTTCAGGGAGGTACATCAGTGAAGGTGGAGATGTGTACACTACTTCATCTACACTGTACCAGAATTAACATTGTGAAGTGTGAGAATATTGTGAAAAAATATTTAAGAGAAAAGAGAACATCAGAAATCACTTGTTCAAACACTGTGCTTCAGCTATTCTTTCTTACAGCAGTTTTACTCGTCATTTTTACTGTTACAGCAACAATTGGATTGAGGGAAAATTTTCTTCTCTTATAGACGTTTACACCTCTGTAGAGGAGGAAACTGTCAAGCAGGCCAGTTTGTGTTACATGGCATCCCCGATGAGTGGGAGAAACGGACTTGGAAAAGATGCTGGCCTTCTAACATTTCTGTAGACATCTGATATAGATACAGTCCACTGTTGGAAACAAGATCCTGGTTTTATATTTCTTTTAGACTAAATACAGGGGTTTTTTTTCTTAAGCTTGTTCTAACAAGAAGAGCCTAGAAGACTATTAAATCATATTACCTAAACTTAACCTTATGTAGTAGATTTAAAATTCCTTCAACTTTTAACATTACTTCCAAAAACCCAGCATGAACAACTTAGTTACATTTATACTGAGACATGTGAAGTATTTAGTTAGTTATGCCTATTCTATGACTTATAGAACATCATAAAACATACTTTTTATATGTTTTAAGAACAACAAAGAAAGAGTAGTTGTGGCTGGGAAAAAGTAACTGCAAAGCTGAACTAAGACTTGGCTTTGTTTTAATTACTCAGAGCCTGAACAAGCATAGAAATCACTGGCGGTCACAACATCTGGACAGCAATGTTATTATGGTGAGTAGAATTCATAATAGTGCTGTGGTTTTCCAGTCATTAAATCTGGTTAATCTTGCTTTACAGGTTAACGCAACAACTTGTGAATATTACCATGTCTTTTCTTCAGTATCCTTGAGATAGTAGTATTTCACAGTTTTCATTTATTTGTATTTACTTCAGCCAAAATCAGAGGATGAAGAAGGCTGGAAGAAGTTCTGCTTGGGCGAAAGAGTATATTCAGAAATAGATGCACTACCTGATAATGAGAATCTAGGCATTGATTACATAAAGGTGAGTACAGGACTTCAAATCTGCAGCTGCAACTTTCAAGAATAACTGCCAGGAACAATCCTACTATTTAGTACCACTTTGTGCTAAACAGAAAGTAGGTTCTCTGCTCAGCTCAGGAACTCAAACTTTTCTTCCCTTTTAAGCAGGAAGTAACTGAAGCAGAGGACAAGTCTATCCATTCAGTCAGAAAACTGGAGATTTCCTTTATCAGTTACCAGCTGAAGCACCCTACTTGGCTGCTCACTGAACTGAATGGAAAGCTTTCTGCATAGCCTGCTGTAGTGTTTTGTTGAATGGTGGTGTATGGTTCCTCTCCTCATACGTGCCATCCCACAAACGTGCCCATCACTGCATCATTTTGAAAAAACAGAACTTCTAACAACACTAAAATCAAGGTTCTTCAACAATAAATTTGAACCTTATTTTGAACTTGCTTGAAAATTTTTATTTAATAGATTTCAAAGCTCAGAACAGACTTTCAAATCACTATGAATATCGGACTATCACATTAAAATGTTAGTATATTGAAATTAAGAAGAAAAATATTTATGATAATGTATATTTTCCAACTTGATTTTTTTTCAGGTGGGCTTTCCCCCTTTGCTAAGTATCGTAAGCAAAATGAACCAGGTGAGTCTGCCTCTTAGAATCACATGGTGACACTGCATAAATCATTATTTCTCACATTCTGTTAAAGAAGTGTATTTTTCTGTACCAGAGGAGGCAGCTGTTTATTACAACTGCTATTCATTGTACACTTAAAAGGAAAACATGTGAGCCTTATCTCACCTTCAGCTGCAAATAACTTTTCTAGTGAACATGTATCACAACTAGTTTTAAAAGTATTTTGTCCTTGTAATTTCTCTATAGAACATTCAATGTTTGAATTTTTTTCTGCATGCCCCATAAGGTGCTTGACAGCGTTTTAAGATTCTGCATTTAGTGTTTTAAGCACAGTTCTTCAACTTGATGAACTTTCATATACATTGCAAGGCTAGAAGAATCACACCTACCTTTACTTTTTGTTAACACAGAAAATTCATTTTACATAAAGTACTTTCCAGGAAATGGTGCTTTAACACTTCCTTTACCTTTCTATGTAACTTCACCCTGGAATAAATACCATATAGTATCACTGTGGAGTAGAATTTTTTTTTTTTTAAATCACATTGCTTTTTATATAACACAATCTTTTGGGTAGAAGGACAGCAAAACAAAACATTGCAGGTATCGTATTGTCTCTTTCTGTTCCTCTTTTGAAGGCAACAGTAACTAGTGTCTTAGAACACCTGATAAGCTGGTTTGGGGAGAAAAAGTTTACTCCTGAACTGGTAAGTTTTAATTTGTTCTAACTACTTGCACATGAATGCATTAAACAAGGGATAAACTGTTTATAGTTTTCTGTGAAACTATTTTAGTTTCTAAAGAGTTCTCTATATGCATGTATCATATTCAGTGAATTTCAGAGCTTTCTTGCCTAGATACTAAAATGAGTATTCACAGAACCTCTGGGAAGGCTAATTACAAATCATAACAAATACAGATCTATCAGGTACTGTCAAAGCCCCTTCTGCTTCTTATGACTCCCCACACTAACTTAAACCACAAGGTTAGATGAGTACCAGCTCTGGGGAAGAGGGTCAGACTGCAGCTGTTTTGGTTCTGACCAGTTCAGGCTCTCAGGGTGCTTCTGGACACTGTATTTATCAACACCTACATTTCAGTTGGGAGATGCATGACATTGTGCAGGAAGAGACATTTAATCTTGCCACATGCAGCACAGACCAGAAAGCTTAGCTGCATTAGTGTGGTGCCAAACCAAACCCAATAAGAAATCCTGATTGACAGGGTATGTTAGCATGGTCTTTGGCCACAATTGGATTGCCTAGCTATGTAATGGCATCATATCTACAGGAGACTTTGGTGGGTGCATCTCATTCAGTACTACGAAGGTAATGAAAAATTGCTTCCATAATACTAAACACAGTTTCAATATTTTTAAGTCATTTAAAGATCTTTTATGTTCTGTAGGACTTCTTTCTTTTTAACCGATATGCTGCAGAGAATGTGCACACTGACGTTAGGCTTATTCCCGTTGCTGTGGTTTGGGGTCAGGGCATCCCCCAGAACCGTAACAGATGCTCTCTCCCCTCCCCCCACCCCTGAGAGGGAAAGGGAATAAGTGAGAGAGAGACTTGTTGATTAGAAAAGAACAGAAAACAGTTTTAATACTACCACTGGTAATAATAGTAATAAAGATAATGAATTAGGCTATGTACAGATACGTACAAATATACAACGTTAGTCCCGAACCCAACTCCCCCCAATGGCAACACGTCACCATCACCCCCAGGTGGGGAGAAGCCCCCAGGGAGAGGGTCCCAGGCTGGACTCAGCCACAGACAGTGACTGGGCACAGGAGCTGGATTCTGGAACTCAGTTCAGGAACACAGGAGTTGAGATCAAAGGCAGGATGGATGAAGTCCTCCTCAGATGCAGTCGGCTGCAGCAGAAGCAGACAGCAGCAGCAGGCAGAAGAGAAGAAG